CTACTTTTGTAATGCTATCTAACTATCACCTATGGTTACCTCAATTCTTGATGCCTTATTCCTCATTCAATGGATTTTGCACTGAATGTTTTAGCAAAAGAATATAAGGACTGAAGTTTGGTCCATTTTCTAACAACCTGCCATACTGTGGTTTTGAGGTGTTGAATTATATGAAAACCAAAAAAAAAAAAAGGAGAAAATAACTCCCAACTCTGAAATTTGAAAGACTATGGAATGGAATTGATGAGTATCAGTTTTGAGTAGGTAGAAGGAAGAGAAATTGATTTATGAGAGCAAAGAAACGCCATGTTCTTGAGATCCCTGATAGACTAGTTCTGTAATAGGATAAGAGGTGGTAAGGAACATTGGATATGGAACTAATGCTAAGTCAGGAAGTCCGGGTTCAAGTCCCATCTCTGACACATACTGTGTGACCTTGGGCAGGACATTTAACCTTTTAGGGCCCCCAGGCAATGCTATAAGAACCTAAGTTAGACAAATTGTCTAGTTATTTTGGTGGAGGACGTTTTTACACTGGAAATTTCCCACACAGATGAAATCTGGACCACAAAGAACAACAAACCAAAAAAGCTGTAATGGGGCAGAAGACAAGGAAGTATAAGGGTAGAATTAGGATCTCCTCCAGCCAACTTCAGCTCTGATAACTAGTGTAGAACAATTTATCAAAAGACCTTGGATCAAGAGTTCTTAACCTCTTCTGTGTCATAGACCTCTTTTGGGAGTCTTGTGAAGTCTGAGAATGATATTTTCTTCTTCTTCTCAGAATGATATTTTTAAACATACACAATAAAATACATAGGATTATGAAGAAAGCTAATTATATTGAAATATAATGGGAGTCAAAAGCAGTACCCTAGCATGAGCCAAACACTCATTACACTGTTATCAAAATATCAAAAACAAACAAAGACATATTCAAGGACCCAAGGTTAAGAACCTCTACCTTAGACTGGTTTGAAAAGTTGCAGAAAGCCTTTGAATGAAGTGAAATGATAGAAAAAAGTCGGTTCTAATATGTCAGGAAATTTGAGCATTCTCTAGGTATCATCTATAAATCAAATGAATTGAGAAGGCAAGTGGTTTCAGCAATTGGATTAGGTGGCTTTTCAGTACATTCCTGAGAAGGAACTGTCTGAGAGTGAAAGGTGGGAGTAGGTGGGATGCAGAACATGAGGAGAGGCCTGGGTTTCTGCATTGGATAAGTCTCTTTCACTCCATCCCCCTTTGATCAAAGGAAGACCTTCTAGCTTTAAAGGGTCCAAAAGATTTTGGAATTGTTATGTTCCCATAGGTGTTCTTATAGTTTCTCTGGTTCGACTAGCGGCAGTGTCTGCACTGGAAACCAGGGACACAGATTTACCATATTTAAAGAAAACTTCTTAAGCACCTCACCATCTGGAGACAAAAGACTTCCAGTAACTGAGATTTGGGCTACTTTTTGTCACGTGTTCTCTAAGCTTGAACCTACTTTCCCCTAGACTTTGTACTTGAAGGGAGAAAATGCCAAAGATGATCAGGGGTGCAAGATCTTTTCTTATTGCATCACCTTAATAAATACCCCTTTATAAAAGCTACTTAATTAAACCTGACTGCCTAAATTAAATCTCAACTGTAGTCTTGGTGGGAAGCACCATGCTCATGACTTTAGAGTAGTGTTTCTCAGAGTGTAGTCCAAGGAACCCAGGAGGGAGGTGGGGGATACTGAAACCCTTTCAGGGGGTCTGTGAGATAAAAAATGCTTTATGAAAATGTTTTAGTTTCTAATATGATACATTTATTGCCATTGTTTGTTAAGTCATTCAGTCATGTCTGATTCTTTGTGAACCTGTAGACCACATCATGCCAATACCATCCATGGGGTTTTCTTGGCACTAGAATGGTTCGTCATTTCCTTTTCCAGAGGTAAATAGAGGTTACTTGACTTGCCCAGAGTCACATAGCTAGTAAGTGTCTGGGGCCACATTTGAACTCAGGTCTTCCTGACTCCAGGCTCAGCACTCTATCCACTAAGCCCTCTAGTTTCCTTTAATATGATAAATACTAATAGATAAAACTCATAACAAAAGCTCAATAAGCTTTTGCTCTCAATAAGAGTGTAAAGAAGTCCTCAGACTAAAAAGTTTGAGAACTGTTGCTTTAAAGAGTCACTGCAGATCATCAAAGAATACTCCTGTCACCCTGAATGGGAGATGTAGCAAGCTGGGGACCCAGCTGATTGGTGGGAATCAACTAGGATGAGAAATAAAGATTCTCAGAGATTACATAGGCTACAAAAGGAACATGTTAACAGTCAAAAGGGGGGAAAAGTAAAATAGAAGATTCCTTCATGGAAGTGACAGTTATTTAGGAAGCTTGGCAGAATGACAGAAGCACTAGATACAAAAGCTGAAAAATAAATACTATAATCCAAATAGAGATGGATGAGAGATGTGGCAAGAACACATATTCTACTGTAAGTTATTATAGCAAAGGAATTAGACCATATGATGTTGAACAAGATAGAGAGGGAAATATGATAAAAAAAAAGGATAAAAATAAGATGGTACCACAGGTAGGAGAAGGTAGAAGATTGCATTACAGAGACAGATGATATCTGAGCAAGATAGCTTAAGTAGGACATTATGATTGGCAGAAATGAATTTAAGTAGGGATGGTCTCTGGAGGAACACTTTGCTCAGTCATTTAACATAACTTATTTTAACTCTTACCATGCAGATGGAAGGATCCCAGTTGGACTTTCAAAATTTTATACCTTAAGAGATTCAATTTTCCCTCTGTCTCCCTCACCATGGTTTTGATCAAGATTATCCTGTGGGATTTTTTTTTAATCACCCAAAATTCACATCAAAGAGCAAATTGGATTACATAGCTTTTAGAATTCACCAGGGATATTTTCCCAAACCAATTTATAACTATTCACCATTCCTAGATTAATGTAACTTTTGTAGTTCTATTATGAGGAGAACCTATGCCATTTAGGATACCATTATTGTATCTATTTCACTTGTTCTAACTTCAGAGGGAACCTCACATATGTGATGGACAGGGAAGAAGTTTGAGCATGTACATTTGAAAATTGATTTGTTTCTCTGGTACAGTAGAAAGAGTTCTAAACTTGAAAGCAAAGGCTCTAGGTTCTAAACTTGTCTCCTATATGACCTTGGGGAACAAAATTATTGCCTAAAACTGATGCCTCATCTATAAAATGAGAAAGTTTGATTAGATGACCTCTAAGTGCCCTCCCATATTTCCAAATTTCTAAAATCTGCCATCCTGCCATCTATCTATCTATCTATCTATCTATCTATCTATCTATCTATCTATCTCCACAATTACGGAGATATTCTAGGAGCCACGGCACAATGTCTTATGAATCTGCCTTTCATTTGTTAGCATCATAGAATTTCAGGCAACTGAGACCTGGCAAATAGTAAGTGCTTAATAAATGTTCTTTCTTCCTTCCTTCCTTCCTTCCTTCCTTCCTTCCTTCCTTCCTTCCTTCCTTCCTTCTTTCTTTCTTTCTTTCTTTCTTTCTATCCATCTAAAAGAGAGTAATATACTCAAGATTACTCAGGTAGTTGATGGCAAAATAGTATTAGAATATGTCTCTTGACTCTCAGTCTAGTTTCCTTTCCATTACACTATGCCAAGGCATCTAATTTCATCTCATTCATTTGTTCATTCATAATTCAGTAAAAATTTATTGCATTACCTAGTAGTGCCAAGCACTGTGTTAGCTGCTGAGGATACGAAGTCAGAAATGACACAATGCTTGCCCTTGGGAAATTTATATTCTACTGGAGGAAACATCATAATCACATAAAAGTAAATATAAAATGTATATGAAGTAAATAAAAACTAATGTTAGTAACGCTATAGGGAGAGCCACTATCAACTGGAAGAATAAAGAAAGATTTGGCATAGGAGGCAACATTAGAAATGAGATCTGAAGCAAGCTAGGAATTCAAAGAGATGGAGGTAAGGAAAGAAAGCACTTTAAGAATTCAAGTCAACAATTAAGTGCTTACTACCTTGTGCTAAGTATATACATCTATATCATCTACATCTGTATCTATATCTATATTATCTATATCTATATAATATGGTTCTGAACATGAAATGGGCATGATCTTTTTAATCACTGGACATCTCTCCCTCCCCCATTAACATTATCCCATCCCAATAAAAAGAAAATAAACATGTTGTTTCTTCCTTAATGTACTAAATTAGTCTACCTAGATAATTCTATGACCCCTGACTTAATTGTTTTTTTAATTAAATGAACTTCTATCTATAGTTTCAAAGCCTAAGCTATGAAAACTAATCCAATAGATTCTTTCTTATCATTATCTTTAAATCTTTAAATTAAATAGAGGGAGTTGGTAAGCACATGACGCAAAGAATGTTTATGTGACAGTGATTACTTTGGCCCTCACCCATTTGAGGGCTAGTCCTGTTACACTTCCTCCACATCTCTAGCATTCTCCAGTATCCTTAAGGGGTTGGGGCACCTCTCCTCTCTGCTACTGCCTCAATAGATGGATTATATTCTCCAGTATTAGGAATCCAAGCAATCCAGTTCCATTTAACCACTTATAGTCCAGTTAACTTTTATACAAGAATATCTGCTTCAAAGAGAGCAAACATATAATCATTTCCCTCAATACTCCAGATGTATACTACCCCCCCCCCATACCACCTAGGTCTCTGGGGAGGAGAGAGGAGATTAGGTTCACAATTTAACTCAGTTTCTGTATAGTATTAATCCCATCAAGTTCCAAATCCAAAGTGCCCTTGGACTTGCTTCCTTGCATTCTGGCTTCTCAGGGCTTCCCTAATGGATGAACAGCAACATCAGGCCTGGAACCCTGGGTTCCAAGGTTCCCATGGCTCAAGTACTTATGTTAGAACTCTATTCTTCTCACATAGAACTTAAAATACTAAAATTCCAAGCCTATTTCTCAGGGCCACAGGGATTATGGGAGAAGGGAAGATAATGCTTCCCCAACCCAGCCTTTATTATGAGTGAAAGAGTACTTTGCCCTTGGAAGCCACTGGAAAAAAAACCTACCTCAGTCAGGTGGATGTTATGACACAACCAGTTCTATGCCATTGGAAAGAGGCTACCAACCTATGTGGTAGGCCAATACACTATGTCTTCTCCTAGAAGCAGGTCCCTGATGCCTTCCATGTCAGTACGTCTATTTTAGGTGGTTTTGGGTATGGACCAAAGTGCTTACAATTATGGGGTCGACTCCCATTTATACTGGGTCCAAACAACCAGAAAACTCATGGAAGATTTTCTCTTCTTACCTTGTTAATCAATGGTGACGAACATGACCCTGGGGGTACTATGAGATCCTGAAGTGCCTTCTGAATTATTAATGAAAGATCCATATAACAATAGGGAGACGGATTTTAGGTTTGGAAGGAATTTTAAAGATCAGACCTATTTAATTATAAATACCATATACTATTATAGTATTTTGATGCCATTCATTTTGCTTACTTAGAGATTGTCTAATCTACAGATGAGAAAATTGAGGCCAAGAGAGATAAAGCTACTTAGCCAAGGCTACACACTATATTTAGAATGGTTCTTAGTATATGGCACATTTTATTGTATTTTTATCCTTATAAAATTGATCATCTTTGTTATGGTATAAAAGATGATTCACCCAGAACAACTTGTTTCCTGACTTCTAGAAAAACAAAAGCTTACCAAACCACTGCAGAAGCAGTCCAGTGTAGTGGACAGAGTGGCTGACCATGGACATAGAAATAACTCAATCAACAAATATTTGTTCCTTCAAGTCTCAGCTAACACCCCACCTTCTTCAAGAAACCTTTCCTGTTCCTAGTTAATACTAATGCCTTCTCTCTGGTAATATATAAATTTATTCTGTATAAATCTTGTTTGTACACAGTTCAAGTCAAGCATTTATTAAGGACTTATATGTGTCAGGCACTGTGTTAAGTGCTGGAAATACAAATGTAAATAAAAAGAAAAACAATCCCTGCCCTCATGGACCTTACATTCTAGTAGACAGAGACAACACATAAAAGGAAGTTGAAAAGGGAGGAAGGAGAGAATCCCGGAATGCAGCCTTATACAGAAAATCAGGGAGCACAGTCAAGAGTAAAGCCTTGAGAGGAAAGAAGGCATATGTGGCCTGGGCATCCTCCTTAAAATGGAGGCTGTGGGAGGAAGTAGCCAATTAAAGGTGCAGGTCACAAGGGCAGAAGGTACTTCCAATATATGAGGTCTGGGGCTGGAATGAGCTTCCAGGGTGGAGTGGTATCGGGGGCATTTTAAGACAGTGAATAGCGCAGCTGGGAGATGAATGTTCATTCCCATGTTGTCTCATGTAGTTGTTTGTATGTTATCTGTCCATTAGACTGTGAGCTTCTTGAGGACAGGGACAGTTTTTGCTTTTCCCCAAGGCCTTAAAAAATGCACTGACTTGAAGCACTTAGTAAGCACTTACTATATGCCAGGCAATTTGTTAAGCATTGGGATGCAAAGAAAAAGGGAGAAGTCTCTGTCCTCAAAGAGTTTATGGCTTAGTGGGAGAGACCTTTACATGTACATGTGTGCATATGTTCATAGATGGATAGACAGATGATAGATATAGATATATATACACACACATATATCTTATTAGTATCTTGTATATGCATATAAATGTATATCTATATCTATATCTATATATCTATATATCTATCTCTATATATCTATGTATACACACACAAGATACTAATTAAGGTAGATAAAAGGTAACCTTAGAGAGGAAGGCACTAGCAACTAAGGGAACCAGGAAAAGCCTCCTATAAAAGGTGGTTCAAGAACTGAATGATGAAGGGAACCAGGGTTGCTAAAAATCTGAAGTTTGAAGTGAGAGGATTCCAGGTATGGTCAAGACAAGGAAAGGCATGGAGATAGGACATGGATTGTTGTATGTAGAGCAAGTAGGCTAGTATAGCTATGCTGTAGAATGTGTGGAGGAGAATATGTAAAAAGACTGGAAAGTGACAAGTTGTGAAGGCTTGGGTTCAAATTATGCATATGATACCAGCTATAGGACCACAGACAAGTCACTTTACTTGTCCCAGACACCTAAGACTATGAATTATTTTTAAAATTAATTTTATTCTGAACTTAAAAAATAAAACAAGCATTTCAATAACATAGTAGAATAGAAAAAAAAGATGATTGCTCATGAATTGCAAATCTATTATGTACAACTTGCTATTCCTTTTAAATATATAAGAAATTTATCATGAAACTTCCTATTTTTTTTCTTCCCTAAACCACCACCTCCCAGCCCTAGAGATGGGTATCATAAGACATGCGCGCACACACACACACACACACACACACACACACACACACACAAATGTAAAGTCGTTCTATACATACTGCTATTTATCAGTTCTTTCTCTGGATGCAGATAGCATCTTATGCCGGAAAGGTTTAACATAAGGAAAACTATAAACATAATTGATTATACCAGTAATAAAAGTAATAAAAATCACATGATTATATCAATAGATGCAGAAGACTGTGAGTTACAGATGAATTGCGGACTTAAATGTAGGGAATTATTTCCTTCAGTAAAATGACAAGTCCGGAACAAAACAAAATAAATCACTGGCTCTCTAAGAGAAAGGGAGGCAATTAGTTGACAAAAAAAAAAAATGAAGACCTGGTTCTCAGGAACTTTTCCATAAAATGATAAACTCCAAACTCATATGATTCATTTCAAGACTCTGGTGAGCATGTGAACAGTAAGGCTTCAGGACTGGCCTTGCTCTCTGCAAAAGTATGTGAAAGAGAGAAGCATATGAGAGAGGTGGGTAGGTGTTTGGAAATTACTGAGGGAAGCATGACGATTATGAAGAGATACAGCTTGGAAAATGACTCACATACTGATATTAATTAAAAGGAAAATAACACTTGAACAAAGAATAGAATCACTCAAAAACACTGCAAAAATGATGAAAATAAATACCAATATAGATTCAAAACAGAACACTTTGGACAGCTACTACATAAAACCCCAGCTAACTATCTTATTAAATTGTCAACAGGTAGATACCAACAAACTCATCCATGTAAGGGTGAATCTGGTATAGAAGCTAAATCATGAATTGTAATGTGATGAATGTAGGTCCCTTGGCCTAATGAATTTTTATGGCTCTATGGTACAAAGATCCAATCTTGTGACTCTTCTGCTCAAAAATCTCCAGTGGTCCCTTATCTCTGGCCAAGTCAAAGTTGGAACTTTTTTTCTTTCCCCCATTTACTAGTGTTTTGCTTTTGACCACTGTCTCCTCCTCCCTTTTATTATCCCTTTCCCTTTTCTTCCCCTTTACTCTTACTGCTTCTTCCATCCCTTCTTTGCCCCTTCCCTTTTCCTTCCCCTTTTCCCTCCTACTGCCTATAGGGCATGTTAGATTTCTATACTAACTGATTATGTTATGCCCTTCTTGAGACAAATCTGATGAGAGTAAGGTTCAAACAATGCTCACCCCCTCCCTTCTTTCCCTCTGCTGTAATAAGGTTTTGTGTCTTTTCCTGTAATGTGATTTACCCTTGTCTGCCTCCTCCTTTCTCAGTGCATTTTCTAAGATCAGATTGATCCACTTATTTGGATCCATTTAACCCACTTCATTAGATTTTTTTTTATCATTACATCAAAGTCAACTAATATCCACCCTCTTTATGTATACTCCTTTAACATGGTGTAATAACAATACAGTTCTCAAGGGTTGCAAGTGTCATATTCCATTGCAGGGGTTTAAACAGCTCCCCCCCCATTAACAACATATTGTATCTTTCTGTCCCATTTACCTTTTTATGTCCTTCTTGAGTCCTATACTTGAAGATCAAATTTTTTGTTGAGCTCTGGTCTTTTTATCAGGAAAGTTTGGAAGTCTCCTATTTTGTTGAATATACATCTCCTCCCTTGAAAAATGATGCTCATTTTTGCTGGGTAGTTGATCCTTGGCTGCATTCCAAGCTCCTTTGCTTTAAGGAATATCATGTTCCATGCCCTGCGGTCTTTTAATGTAGACGCTGCAAGTTCCTGTGTAATCCTGACTGTGGTTCAATGATATTTAAATTGTTTCTTTCTGGCTGTGTGCAGCACCTTCTCTTTCATCTAGTAATTTTGAATTTTGCTATTATATTCCTTGGTGTTGTCAATTTGGGATCTCTTTCAGGTGGTGATCGGTGAATTCTTTCTATGGTTATTTTCCCTTCTGGTTCTGGGACTTCTGGGCAGTTTTCCTTATGATTTCCTGAAAGATACTGTCCAGGCTCTTTTTTTCATCATGATTTTCAGGTAGTTCAATGATTTTTAATTTGTCTCTCCTGGATTGATTTTCCAGGTCGGTTGTTTTACCAATGAAGTATTTTATGTTTTCATCCATTTTGTCATTTTTTTTTGTTTCCGTTTGGCTGATTCTTGCTCTCTCATAGCATCATTAGTTTCCATTTGTCCAATTCTAGTTTTTAACATATTGTTTTCTTCTGTTAGTTTTTGTACTTCCTTCTTCAATTGGCCAATTGTGTTTTTGAAGGACTCTTCTACCTCTCATTTGACTATTAAAATCCTTCTTGAGCTCTTCTAAGAAGGCTTTTTGGGCTTCAGACCAGTTCATATTCCCTTTTGTTGTTGTAGATGTGGGTTTGTTGACAATGTTGTCTTCTTCAGAATTTCTGTCTTGATCTTCTCTTCTCATAATATGTATCTGTGGTATGTTTCTTTTTACTCATGGTGTTTCTTTATTCCCTGGCCTTTAAAGAGATTGAGCTCTCCTTCTGGGGAACAGAGGGCACTGACCCAAGATTCTTGTGTTGGGAGCCTAGGTCTTGGTCACTGGCTTGTGTGGTGGGGCCTCTTATGCTGGCAATTGGAGGCTGTAGGTTTCTGGCAGCTTATCTTGTGTTGGGCTGGAATCAGCAAGGCTGGCACTTTCAGGCAATTCTAGGTTGCCTGCTTTTCCTTTCCTTTAGCTTTCTTCAGCTCCTTTTAGATGGATGCTGCAGGGTGTTTATCTGCCTGGGGCCCCTGCAGTGTTGTCTCCCTCATTTCTGTTAATGCACTGGGAGATTCCTTTGACGTAGAGTGCCGAGGCACCTGGTGGTTTTCTGAGCCGGCCTCCCCCGTTTCTCCTGCCCTCACTGAGTCATCTGGAAGTCCAGGTATTGGTGCTTGCCTCCTCTACCACCTGGGCTTCAGGATCTCTTCCTGGGATTCTGACAGCTTACCTGGTGCTGGGCTGGAATCAGCAAGGCTGGGGCTTTACGAAGACTTTAGATTGCTTTCTTTGGCTCCGTTCGGATGAACGTTGCAGTGTGCTCATCTGCCTGGGGCCCTCAGTAGTGCTGCTTCCCCTATTTTTGTTGAGGCACTGGGAGACCCGTTTGCTGGGCTGCTGTACAGCTGCCCCTGTCTTTCTTCCAGTTCAGCTGTTCCAGGGTTTTTTTCTGGTGTGATATTTTCTGGGTTTTCAGAGGTTGATAGTGGAGAGTGAGAGCTACTACTTTTTCACTCTGCCATCTTGGCCCCCAGAAGCAGAACTCTGGAAAGATTTCTAAGCTATTAAATGATTGGCTTCTCCAGGGTGAGAAAGTGTACTTCAAAACATGATGAGAAGCCACCTCTAAATTTTTTGACGTTGGATAAAGCTCTAGTTTCCTTGTCCTAATCATTGCTCTATGCAAAACATACTGTAAATTAATAACCAAACTTCATTAACTCAGTAGCTCAGGGAATAGGGATTTCTGGTTGCTTATGATATCTAATAAAATGCTCCTAGAGACTATTTTTTCTCTTCTCATCACCTAATACAGTACCTTAAGAAAAGTAGGTGCTTAATAAATACTTACTGGATTGGACTGAATTGAAATTGTTTTCAATTCTGTTGTGGAAGGTCTTCCTAAATGGATCAGTCACTTTCTTATCATATTAAGCAGAGTCTAAGGTAAAACATCAAATTTCTCCTTGTTCCTTGAAGCTCTTTCAGCATTTCAGGTTTATCTTTTTGGGGTGTCAAAGTGGCTCAGTGGATAAAGTGCCAGTCAGGAAGACTCTTCTTCCTAAGTTCAAATCTGGCCTCAGACACTTACTAGCTGTGTGACTTGAGGAAGTCACTTAACCCTGTTTGCCTTAGTTCTCTCATCTATAAAATGAGCCAGGAGAGAACTTGGCAAACCACTTCAGGATATTTGCCAAGAAAACTCCAAATGGGATCACAAAGTCAGATGTGACTGAAAATGACTGAACACCACCAAATTTTTTGTTAATCTTTTGTTTTTATATCTCCTTTACTTCTGACTTTCTCTCTCTTCTCCACTCCTCTCCCCAGTGAGCTATCTCTTATAACAAAGTATAAAAAAAATAGAAAAATGGCAGGTCAGCTAAACTAATCAACACATCTACTGAATCTGATAACATATACAATGCTCCATACCCACAATTCTCTACCTCTTCAAAAAAAGGAAGGAGTACATTTTCTCATCCTTTCTTTGGAGATGAATTGGTCATCACATTTACAGAGTTCAGTTCTTTTTGTTGTTGTTCTTTTAGTTTTTCTGATTGTACTCGTTATGCATTCTGAATATTAATTGTGTATATCATGTATTCATTGTGTATGTTGTCTTCTGTTTCTGCTAACTTTAATTCACATCATTTCATGTAAATTGTCCCATCTTTCCCTGAATTTATTCCAGTTATTGTTTCTTATGTCACAGTAATATTTCATTTCATTCATGTATGGCTATTTTATTAGCCATCCCTCAATCAAGAGGCATCTTCTTTGTGTCCAATTTTTTGCTACTATGAAATTGCTGCTATAAAGATTTTGGTGCATGTGGACCCTCCTTTCTATGTCTAAAGGTTACCATTCTTAAAAGGTGATACTCATTGTCAAGGACTGCAGGTGAGACTGGAATGTACTCTGGAAGTTGACTTATTTTGTGACTCAGCTCTTCCTAGTTCTATAGAAAAGGGAGAAAAATCCTGATCAGCTGAGTTTTTCAGCTCATTGCATTCCAGTTAATCAAGGTTTTATGACAAAACAAGATGCCATGACCAAGTGTCTGTTCATTGAACACTCGAACACTCTTGTTGTTTATTGCTACTAAACACTCTAACACTAGGGTGGGATTTCGAAATCCTGTTGCACTTGTTGATCTGCAGAAATATACCATTGAAAACAGATAAGATGGAATAGATTACTTTAAATTCTCATTGGTCAGAGAGCTTTATTTCCACCATCAAATAAGCTGCCTTGCCTCTACCTCCTGCAACCTAAAGGAACTTTGAAAGAAGATTTTAAAATAGTTGCTTGTAACTTGAAAGATGGGTGGGGTGTTCTGGCATTGTTATGGAGTATCCTATGACAGAATCTTCACTGGAATGACACATTACTAATAGGACAAGAGGTAGCTTAATTCCCACTTTGTAATCTGTAAATGACTATGTGAGATGTTGAAAAATGGGTCCCTTTTAGAGACTTTCCATTTTGTGTCACCTCACATACAGTTTCTCTATGCCTGAGAGACTTTAAGGTCATAGAAATAAACTTAAGCAGATATTTCTTCTTTCAGGCATTCCTTCCTCCCTTCTCCCCACCCTTATTCCAGGAATGATTTTGTATCTTTACACATTCAGGAAGGATATCAAAACTGGAGAGATAAGAAGAAAAAGAGAAGGGAAATGAAGAGAACAAAGGAATATGGTAAAGTATATATGAAAAAAGAAAAGAAAAGAAAAGAAAAAAGTAAGGTCCTTATTTTAGCATGGATTTAGTAATAATCTGAGTCTGATATAGTCTCTGTTTGACCACTCCAACTGATTAGAGTCATGGTAATAAATAACATTTATGGAAAGCTTATGTTGTTATATAAAATTAAACAGTTTTTGCATAAATAAAAACAATGCAGCTAACAATAGAAAGGAAATAGTTAACTGAGGAAAAATCTTTGCAGCAAGCTTTTCTGATAAAGATCTAATTTTTAATACATATGTATACATATATATATGTGTGTGTGTACATGCATATGTATGGAACTGATTTAAATTTAAAATAATTATGAGCCATTCCTGAATAAATGGTCAAATAATATGAATAGGCAATTTTAACAGGAAGAAATGCAAGCTATCAACAGATACATTAAAAAAAGTTCCAAATTGCTAATAATTAGAAAAATATAAGTTAAAGCAACTCAGAGGTTCTATGTGACACTCATCAGATAGGAAAAGATAAGAACAAAGCTGACAAAATGTCTGCATTAATATAGGCACACTAATATGCTTGTGGAACTCTGGATTAGTCTAGCCGTTCTGGAAAGCAACTTGTTCCTACAACCAAAAAGTCACTAAAACTTTTAATCACTGGATGAAGGCAGATAATGCTACACAGGAAATATCTTGTGATTGGCTGAAAGAATTATATACATCTCTGAGCCTATATATAAAAAGAGGAGTTAGTCCAGCAGTGAGTTCAGTTCAGTGATATCAGTGAATCAGTGGAGGACCTCAAGCTCAGGAATGACTTGAGCAAGCAGATCCTTGCACCTATACTTATACTCTCTACTACACTATACTCACCTCCTATCTCCTACCTCAGCCCTGTTATTGTAGAGAATGGACCAGTAGCAGACAACACATCCAACTGAGAGCAGAGAAAGACATATTGAAGATTAACACAGACACAGATGACTACAGAAAAAGCTACCTAAAGGAGGAACCATCTTCAAGGAGTAGTACTCCTTTTCCTGGGAAAGAAGTACCAGATATGGAATAAAGGCACAAACTCTTGGAGCCCAGCAAAGATCTATACCTAAGGGGAATTTACTTGCATCTTTGTCACAGGTCACCTCCACATGTGCCTTTCATACTTAAAGTTTAAGGCCACTTTCCCCTGGGACTGTGTGGGTACAAGGGAAGAAGATAACTCCTTTTTTGGGGAAAGGGCTTTTTCTACCAGTTCTTATTCCTGTATCATCTGAGTAAATACCCTTTCTAGAAGCCAAATCAGGCTGCTATCTGGTAACCAACAAACGTACAAGGACTCATGATTGTCAGTACTAAAAACTCAGCCCCTCAAGTTTATCCCTAGAATCATGAAAGGGTGAGATAATGAAAGTAGCAGGTAGAACTTCTGTTAACCCAGAACTACAAGTGCAAGGTGGGACAGTGAGCCCAGAGAAAGTGCTACATATATATTTTGTATTTCCCTATATGTATACATGTTGTGTTTACCTATAGGTGTACATGCTGCAAGCTCCTTGAGGGCAGGAACTGTCTTTTGCCTCTTTTTGTATCCCCAGTACAATGCCTGGCACATAGTAGGCACTTAATTGATGTTAATTGATTGATTGCTAGAATGTAAGATCTTTGAGGGCAGAGATTATATCATTTCTGTCTTTTTTTTCCCCCAAGTACCTAAGGCAATGCCTAGCCCATAGCAAATACTTAATAAATGCTTATTGATTGATTGGCATAGATATTATCTTTGTTTCCTTAATGACAACAATTTGATGGGATTTAATTCCATTAAGAAATATAATAAAATCATAAATCAAGCATTTTCTAAGCCCTGGATTTGTATAGACCTCAGAGACAATCTAGTTCAATTATTTCATTTTGCTGGCTAGGAAACTGAGGCCTAAGAAACAATATGACTTGTCCAAGGTCTTATAGGTAGTAGGTAGGCTAACCAAGATTCAAACAAAGGTCTTTTTGACTCCACACCGAGCACTCTATCCACTGCACCACTTAGATGCTCCAGTGGTCTTTTTACCACTGGGTTTACCACCACCATTCCATTATAAGACCTGGTTTCTACTTTCCATTTTGATGCTGCAACAAAATAGAAATCCTGGAAATTAAATAAGAGATTAACAAAATAGCAAACAAACAAAAACATTGAATTAACAATAAAAACCAGGAGCTAAGGAATTTTTTGGAGGGGAGGAACAAAACAAATGGACCATTGGCCATTGGCAAATTTGATTACAAAGAAGAGGAAAACCAAATTACCAGTGTCAAAAATGAAACAGAATTCACAATAAATGTTACACAAACTTTGCAAAGAGAGCAAAAGAAGGGATACTACCAAATTCCTTCCATGTCACAGATAAAAATTTGATACACAAACTAGGGAACATTAAAACAGAAAAAGAAAAGTATTGACTTATGTTCCTGGCCAACGTTGATATAAAATTTAAAAATAAAATATGAACAAAGAGCCTAAAATAACATATCACGAAGATTATACACAATGACCAGGTTGGATTTATACCAGGAATTCAGGGTTGGTTTAAAATTAGGAAAACTATAAACTTAGTTAACAAAATTAGCAAAAACCTTATGATTATATCAATAGATATGGAAAAAGTTTTTGACAAAATACAACATCCATTTCTGTTAAAACACAAGACAACAAAGGAATAAGTGGTCCTTTCCTCAAAATGATGAATAGTATATATCTAAAATCAAGACCTACTGTATTTGCAACCAAGATATACTAGACACCCTTGAACTAACTCAGGGGTGAAACAAAGGTATCTATAGTTAAGCATTTCTATTTGACACAGCATTAGAAATGCTATTTTACATAGTGCTAGAAACAAGACAAGAAAATAAAAAAAAACCAAGGGAATAACTATAGGTAAAGAAGAAGTAAAATTTTCACTTTTATATAGATTATATGATGGTGTGCTTTAAGAATTCTAAGAAGTCAACAAAAAATTCATTGAAACAACAACCTAAGCAAATTTATAGAATATAAAATAAGTCTACACAAATCATCAACGTTTCTATAGACACCAATAAAACCTAGCATGAAGAGATAGAAACATTTAAAATACTTAAAGAATATATAAAATACCTACCAAGATACATATAAGAGCTATATAAACACAACTATAGACCATTACTGTTCAAAGAAACACAGATCTAAATAACTGGAAAAATATAAATTACTTGTCATTAGGACTTGCCAATGTAATAAAATGACAATAGAACCTAAATTAATTAATGTATTCATAGTGATCACATTACCAAAGGTTTACTTTACAGAAGTAGGAAAAAATAATAGAAATTAATATGGAAACAGGAAAGGTTTCATGGGAAATAATAAAAAGAAGTAGAAATGTAGGGGCTTAGCAGTGCCAGATCTCAAACTATATTACAAAGCAGCAATTCTCAAAACAATTTGTTACTGGTTAAAAAATATAGAAATAATTTCATGGAAAAGAGTAGGTACACAACATACAGAAGTAAAGGAATCTAGTACCCTAGTATTTGATAAATACAATAACATAGCTACTGAGATAAGGACTCACTGTATGACAAAAATTGCCAGTAAAATTGTACAGCAATATGGAAGAAATTAGATTTAGACCAACATCTCAAGGTTTATACCTTGATAAGCTCCAAATGGATATAAAACCTAAATACAAATAGTCATATTATAAACAAATTAGTGAAATATAGCAGGGGGTAATGACTTGTCAGAGCTATGGATAGAAGTAAATTCATGACCAAACAAGGGACTGAGAAGATCATAGAAGATAAAATTGATCATTTTGATTTCTAAAATTTAAAAATTTGTTGCATAAGCAAATATAATAGACCTAAGATGAAAAGGGAAATAACTAACTAGGCAAGAGTTTTTGTAGGAATTTCTTATGATAAAGATCTAATTTCCAAGATTTATAAGGGGCTGATTAAAATTTATAAGAAAAATAGCTATTGCCCAGTTGATAAGTAGTTTAAGGATATGAACAGGCAGTTCTCAAGGGAAGAAGCACAGGCTCTTTATAACCATATGAAAAAATGTTCAAAATTATTACAAATTGGATATATACAAAATGAAGCAATTCTGAGATTCCACCTCACATCTAGACTAGCACATCAGATTGGCAAAGATGACAACAAATGACGAATGATAAATGTTGGAGGGACTATGGAAATATAGACACATTGACGCACTGTTGGCAGGCCTGAGAATGAGTGCACCCATTCTGGAAAACAATTTGGAATTATACACAAAAAGTAAACAGTGAATGTCTTTTAGCTCAGCTCTACCACTGCTGGTCCTATACCTCCCAAAGATCAAAGAAGTAGGAACAGGTCCAATTTGTAGAAAAGTGTTTATGGCATCTCTTTTTGAGGTAGCAAAAACAAAACAAACTCTAACAACCTGGAAACTAAAGGGATGCCTGTCAATTGAAGAATGGCTGAATAAGTTGTGGTATATGAATGTAATAGAATACTACTGTTCTGTAAGAAATGAGGAAATACATGATTTCAAAAGATATGGAAAGACTATATAAACCGATGCAGGGTGGAATAAGCAGAATGAGAACAATTCATACCATATTATTTTGAAAAACTGACAATTTGAAGATTTATAAAATGATGAACAGTGAATTGAGCAGAACCAGGATAATATTTTATACAACAAAACAACACTGGAAAGACAAACTAAATTGAAAGCCATAAGAATTACAAATATAATAACTATTTATGATTCCAGAGGACAATGAAATAAACATTATCCACTTCCTCTCTGAGAGGTGATAAATTTAGGGCTCAGAGAGAGAAATATATCTATATATCTACATATTTATATACATATACATACATACAGACATGTGTATGTTTATATGTATGTATGTATGTATATGTGTATATAGGTGTGTGTCTATACATATACATATGTATACATATATATATATATATGAATAAGATTTTTTTGCTCAATGGTGCATATTTGTTACAAAGAATGTTTTTAGTTTTCTCTTTTTTCAATAGGGTTTTGGGAGGTGGGATGGAGAGAAATTAAATTTCTGCTAATTTTTAAATAATTGGAAAGTAAAGGAGAATTACTATAGATGTAGAATGTTTTATGCACTTTCAGATGAGGTTACTATATTGTTAGTTTTACTTAATTGTTTTATTTTAATACAAGAGATCTCTCACAGAATAGGAATAATCTATAAATGTTTGTAATATAATGACAAAATAAGTAAATAATTTTTTAAGTTTAGCAAAAGAGTTTTAGCTTAATATAGCAAGAAATAAAAGATAATAAAGGATTCTGGGTAGTGGCTGATGCGATGAATGCAAGGTTGAAAGAAAATGAGTCTGGCTTCATAGATTGGAAGGGGGAAAGTCCAAACCTTCAAGGAGCCAGGGAGGACAATTAAAATGCTGTTGTGGTAATACAGATGTGAGGTTTTGAGGGCATAAATTAATATGATATCGGTGGAGATGAAAAAAGAATAAAAATGAGAATAACTACCTGGACCCAATAACTAGATATGAGTAATGAAGGAGTGTATTGAATGAAATACATAGTTCGCATACTATACAATACATGAACATTAGACTCAGAGTCAAGATATCTCGATCCTTATTATGGGTCTCTCATGACCGTGCTAGGTGACCTTAGGTCATTTAAACCCTTTGTGCCTCAGTTACCTCATCTAGAAGATGAGGGGAGTTATAGTAAATATTTTCTAAATTTCCTTCCTGCTTTAAAACTGTAATTCTAAGGATTCAAGCCATCATCACCACTTTTCGTCACTTTCCCCCCTTTCTCTATTCCCTTTCTGTCCCACTCCCTGTCTTCTAAAAATTAAAAAAAAAATTTAAAGAGAATTCGCTTAGTCTCATGTGAAGACTCAGGACCTTCTGTGAGAAACATGGATTAAAATGGCTATGCCATTTATAAAGACAGCTCTTGAAACTTCCTATTAGATTCTAGACACTCTGGTTAATTTCTGAATGTGTCTTTTACAATGTGGC